CCTGTAGTTCCAGCTATTTGGAAGGCTGAGGCGGAAGGATCGCCGGAGCCCAGCAGGTTGGGGCTGCAGTGGCTGGGAGCGGCCATTGCAGTCCAGTCTGGGCGACTGAGTGAGACTCCAACTCAAAAAAAAAAAAAAAAAGAATTATGAGACAATTGTGATAATAGTTGCTCAAAAAAGACATGCTCACTAAAGATATGAAACATGCGCACACTACCAAGACCAGGAGAAAGGGTAGCACCCACGGGGGGTAGGGCTGCCATCTCACTTCCACACACAGCTTTGCTTGTTCCACAGTGAAGGCACCAGAAAGCTCAGAGCTGCACTGAGAATTTAGATGTCAGCAACAAGGGAGACAGGCTCCCAAAAATGGTAGTGGGGTGGGGGGTCTAGATCTCCTTTAAGGGGCATCTTCCTCTCCATGTTGGTGCTTCTCAGGTAGTTCTGCCCTAGACCCAGTACTTCCCTGACTTTGAAATACGCCCTTTCTCATGTGTTTAACTACAACGCATATGCAGATGATGCTTTAGTTCTAACCTCTCCCCTGGCTTCAGGCCCAGAAAGCCACAGGCATATTGTCACCTGGATTTCCATTAGGTACCTCAAGATCAATTTATCCCAAGCCAAACTAACCATCTCCTGCACTCTCTGCATCCACCCCACGTTCCCAGTTCTGAAGGATGACATGCTCTACCCAGTTACCAAAAGCAAAGACATTCTTTCCCTTGCTGTCCTTGATTCTGAGACCTCTTCAATTCACCCCCTCCTCTTCAGAGTAACCACAGATCCAGTTCAGGCCCTAACTTATCAGCTGGAATATCTCAACAGCATCCAAACATGTTGTCCTAATAGCAGCATATCCAAGTTCCATCCCGCTGTTAGATTTCGACAAAGCACATGAACAAATGGCCCTGAGCCTGGCGTCCAAACTCCACTCATACATGAGGCCCTCTTGGTCCTCACCCACACCCCTCTAATATCAGTTCTCACCATGCCCCACCTCCCATTCATGCCACCCTGAGTCTTTATTGCACCACATTGCCTTTCTCTGGAACTCCATCTTCCTGGGGATCCTTCCTCTCAGTTCATGTTTCTACAGTGTCATACTGTCATAGTTATGACATCTGCTAATTTTGATCCAGGGTTCCTCCCATGACCCCTGCCCTGTCAGCCAGGAAAGGTAAACTAGGAAGGAGCTGACAGTGATCCTGGGGGGGCTGGTTCTTAGGAAGGGAGTATCTGAAGCAGAGGAAGGGGTTAAGGAGTGACCTCATTCTGCGGGAGCAGTAAATCTCTCCACAGACTTCCTCAGATGTGACAGAAAATTTTGTTCTTCTAGGCTGCATCATATCCATCATCTGATAGGTAACTTCCATGTTCATGAAACAAGCAGGGTATGAATGGCAACCCATTGCCAAAAGGGGATGTCGGAAGAGGGCTTTTTCTTTAAAATCCTATGGAAACCAAAGTCCTAGGTAATTTTTAAGCTTCCACAGAGAAACTCTGGAGGTCAAAGTGCTGCAACCAGAAAACCATCCTATATGAACCTTTTTGAATCAGCCTGTGTGGGAGGTGAGTCTTAAGGGCCAGCGTATGGAAAGTAATGGGTAGGCCTGAGACAAGACTCAGGATAAAACTGTGCCATGAACCTGGAACGCAGAAGTGTTCAAAGCCCTCTCTCATACACCAACGCTTTCTACCACTCCTCCACCTCAGTCTTGGCATGGGGACCAGGGACAAAGCTTCTGCCACACCAGAAGGGGGCAGAGAGGCAAACATGTAGGGAGGAACAAGCAATGGTGGCAACCCCAGGTTCCTCTAAAGTTTAGCCTATGATCAGCCACGTGTAGTAAGCGAGACTGACTCCTGAGAAAAGGGAAACTCTTCAACCCGATTTCCACAGCCAAAGCAGTATCTTATTGGAAGAAAACTCACTTTGCTCACATATTTTTCCCAACCTCGACACACCCATATCTCTCAACATATTATTGAAAAGATGGTAACTCACATCAAGTGCTTTGACAGTAGCTCAGCCTTGCTCAAAGCACTACAGTGATTCTGAATATCCCACGTCCTTTAATCTTTAGGGACTCTCAGTTTTCCTATTTGTTAAGAGGAAAATTCATAATGCAATTATAACAAGAAATGTAGTCTTTGCAATCCTGGCATCTAGTTACCTGTCCTAACGCAAAAGGGAATTCAGTATAACATGAAGAACACCCCAGACTCTGCAGACAGATCTGCTTGAATCCTGCCTCTCCCATTCTCAGACGTGTGGCTGATGCAGGTTACTTAACTTTCTCAAGCCTGTTTTCTCCTGGGAGATGGAAAGTTAGTACTTATCCCCTGGGGCTGTTGTGAGAATTAAATGAGATGATGTATATAAAGTGCTTAGCTCAGAGCTTGCCAAAGAGCAACTGCTCAATAAACACTGGCTATCGTTGCTATTATTAATAAGTTTGTAATGATGTAATTGCTGTTCCTACTCTCTCAGATCATGGTGACCTGCTCTAGGCCAGCCCCTCTCTCACCACAGAGTCTCAAACTTCTTCCTTGAAGTTAGATAGGCCCTGACAGAGAACACATGAGAAGCACTGCCAATGGGGTGTGTGTACACATGGATGGTGAAAACACAGCGAGTTTGGGATGACTGCTCAGGGACACTGATTTAACTCTAAACCCCTAAACAGTTTGGCTCAAATATTGACAAAGCTCTTGCATGACAGCAAATACAAGGACAGTCTGAGGATTATGTGTGGGTTTTTTACAGGAGAAAAACAAATTACACTTAAGAAGAGTGCCTTCAAATCTGGATCCTTAGTACTTGTAATTCACTTTCAAGTTACCTGGATTATACCAAGGTAACATCCCTGGGTACACACCAAGCTTGAAAATTGGAAAGTTTATCTCTAGCATACATCTTATAATATAAGATATATACATGTATCTCTTTTGTCATGGGTGGAGGCAGCTGTCTCCTATGATGCTTTCCCTCCTTTGTGGGTTCTGCGGTGGGCACTGAAGTGGGAGCTATTGTTGAAGTCTTTGCCACACTCCGTGCACTTGTAAGGTTTCTCCCCAGTGTGGATTCTCTGGTGAATGATAAGACTGGAGCTCTGGTTAAAGCATTTCCCACACTCTCTGCACTTATACGGCTTCTCTCCTGTGTGAATTCTCTGGTGAGTAATGAGGTTAGAACGGTCACGAAAGAACTTTCCACACTCGAGGCATTTGTAGGGTTTCTCTCCTGTGTGCACCCTCTGGTGTGTGATGAGTTTGGACCGCTCACTGAAGCACTTCCCACAGTCCATACACTTATACGGCTTCTCACCAGTGTGGGTCCGCTGGTGATTGGCCAGGGTGGAGCTCTTACTAAAGTTTTTCCCACATTCAGCACATTCATAAGGTTTCTCTCCCGTATGGATTCTTTGGTGACTAATGAGGGCAGAGCTCTTAGAGAAGCTTCTTCCACATTCAGAACACTGATAAAGTTTCTGTGGTCCAGGAGAATTCAAGTTCTGACTGATACTTTGATGCTTTTCAGGAGATGTCTCCTCTAAAGAATTCCTCCAGTGAGCACCAAAAAATGGACTTTGGCCAAAGTTTTCCCCAGGTTCACTACTTTGGTCAGGTTTTCCACCCATGTGGATTCTCTGAAGTTTCAGAAGGTTTGAGCTCTGGTTGAAGTTTTTCCAACATTCCCTACATTTATAGGGCTTTTCCCCCATGTGGGTTTTCTGGTGGGTGACGAGATTAGAGTGGTGGCTAAAGCTTTTCCCATATTCAAGGCATTTGTAGGGCTTCTCTCCAGTGTGAATTCTCGGATGGGTATTGAGGTTAGAGCAGTCACTAAAGCTTTTTCCACATTCAAGACATTTGTAGGGCTTCTCACCTGTGTGAATCCGCTGGTGGGCAATGAAGTGGGAGCTCCGACTGAAGCTTTTCAAACATGTGCCACACTTATAGGGCTTCTCCACAAGGTACAGGCCTTGATGGTCAATAAGTTTTTCTAAGTCCTCTTCAGAAGAACTTTCTTCCCACTGTTCCTGTGGGGGATTTCCCCATTGCCCTTCACCTTCATTTTCATTTTCACTGTCTTCTCCCCAATCAAGAGGTCGGCAAACAGCCTCTGTAGTACATTTTGATAAAGTTCCAGGTAAATCCTCAAAAATGTCCTGCTCTGAAATCTGGTCTTCATCCTCATGCCTCAGCTCAAAACCTAAAAAGTAGACAGAAATGCAGTTTTTCTTCATTCATTAATATTCACATACGTTTGTGTATCTTATGTCTTATGAATCTGGCTAACATGAATTTGTATCTTGTATCTCACATCTTGTAAATGTGACTAACATGCAATCAATCACGTTTTGGTGCAGATGTGTGTTTCTGACCTGCAAAGCTGAAGAATGGACCCTCCCCAAGTAACCTCCCCATGACCCCCTGCAAGTGAGCCATGGGGCTCAGCCCAAGCAGCCACAGCCAGCCAGTTTCCCCAGTCAACTTCTCCTATCTCACTCTTCAATATTGAATACTTCCTCCTTCTAGTACATTCAGGAGGTGTCACATCTGGTGTCACTCAAGACTGAACTCTACAAATGCCCAGATGTATCCTAGTAAAAGCCAGAATGACTGACTGACTGATTTGGGGGTTTACACTAAACTAGACACAGATAATCTGGGGAAAGCACAAATCCTTTTTCCTATTTAACCTCATTCTTTTAGTTAAGAGACAAAGATAATGAGCCTGGCTTCCTCACTCTTTCCACATGCCTGTGGGTTTTATGAACATCCAATTACTCCAGGCTTACCCGTGTCTGGGGCTTTAGGACATAGAGTTGGAGGTTTGATGGCATCTTCATCTGCCATCTCATCCCAAGCTTCCTGGTCATCAGCCTCGGTATTGCTCTGGCCAGACTGAGGGAGACCTGAAGCCTCCCTGACAGTCCCCATGGCCATGACTGCAGACCGAGCCCTCATCAGTGAGTCTAGCTCCTCATAGAAGAGGCATGTCCCTGGCGGGTGGCTGCTCTTAGCTTTCCGGTAGCTTCGAAGGAGGTTTTTGAATCTGTAGCGACACTGCTCCAGTGTCCGCAGGAAGCCCAGTGCACACAGCCGCTCTGCAATGGCCCGGTACACCTGGCTGTTCTGGTGACAGGTGCGAAGCTTTTCAGAGAATGGGGACTCACTGAGAATCGCCAGGAAGGCCTTGGTCTCCTCGTAGCCCCAGTGCACACCTGCTGTCAGGAGTGAAGAGTTCAGAGGTGTGAGACTTAATGAGATTTGCCCAGGTCATCAGGGACTGGGGTCATCTGCCCTTCTAAATGCCTAGAGCATAGGCATCTTAGAAACTAACCAGGTGCCTGGAAAATATCCCCTTGCTTATCAGGGGTGAGCTAAGAAAGTCAGCCAGAGCTTCCCACCCCCAATCCCTTCTAAGAGATTCCATTAACATTTCAAGTCTTGGTTGAAAGAGGAGGAATTAGGTGGCCATATTATGTCAATCATAATGCCTCAGTCCCTGGCTTCAGTTTGGTTCCAGGAAAAGCCTATAATTGGGATTCATGAGATTCTCCCTATATCCATTCAATATATATCCTCTATTTACTTTATAAATTTTCTTTTAAACAAGATATGGAATATGAGAATTCCTCCAATAGAGTCCAACTAAGGACACCCCTTCCTCCTTCATGGAAGAATGAAAAGGAGGTCGTTTAGTCTCAGTTTCTCTGCAGGTAAGTGATACAGCCCAGGGAGGCAGCATGGAGGAGGGAAAACCACTTAAAACTGGCAGGCAGGAGCCACAGGCTCAGCTCTGTGAGTCTTTAGATAAGATGCCTCTCTCGGATTTCAGTGTTTGCACCTTTACAATGACTAGATGTAGCCCACACATTGATTGTCCAAGTCCATGTTATCACGATTCCTGCTCTATCTATTCAATATTTCACTCATTATCTTTCTGTACCTAAATTTACTATCTGTAAAACCCAGGTTGATGTGTTCATACACATTAAGAGAAATAAATAAGTGTAAGAATAAAAAGTTCATTCATGTAACACCTATGATCATCTCCATACTACCAATGACAGACTTTGGTAAATATTGGATTTGCTCTTTGAGGTCCCTTCTGGCTTTACAAGTGTTTGCTTTTGTAACTAAGAAGACTTGTGTGAGGAGATTTGGTCATGGGAGAAGAGGGTAGGAGTCTAAGGATGACCTAAGGAGCATAGTTTCTTACTCTGGTAGCATCAATCTAGACTCGCAATTTGTGCCCTGACCTCAAGGAACAGCAACCTGGCTGGTAGAGGGCTGGAATCTGAATCTGATCAAACCCGCGTGTTCTTACCAATACGACTCTGGAACAGAGTTGGGCCCCCTGCAATCCTGGGTCCCTGAGCAGATTCATCAGTGACCAGGCCAGCACCACTGCAGTCTTCTGCTGTTTCCTCAAGTTCCCAGCCTCCATCCTCCTGCTCATCCATCTCTGCGTCACTGTCCCCAAGCCTGGGGAGTGCCACAGTGTCTCCTGCGCTTTCTGTGGCTCTGATGGCTGTCCGAGCCCTCACCAGGGCCTCCAGTTCCTCATAGAAGGGGCAGGTCCCTGGTGGATGGCTGCTTTTGGCTTTCCGATAATTCCGTAGGAGGTTTTTGACCCTATAACGACACTGCTCCAGTGTTCGCAGGAAGCCCCTTGCCCTTAGACGCTCTGCAATGGCCCGGTATACCTGGCGGTTCTGGTGACAAGTCCGGAGCTTTTCAGAGAAAGGAGACTCACTCAAAATGGCCAGAAAAGTCTTGGTCTCCTCATAGCCCCAGTGAACACCTGACACCTTCATGTCCTCCACATCCCATTGGTACTGTTCTTCCCAGGCCCTTGAATCCCTCCAAGCCAATGCCTGAGCTGGTTTTGTTTGCTCATTATCCACGCTGTAATCTGCGGTGTTCCTTTTCCCAGAATTTATAAGACTTAGATCCCAAAATTCTGTTCCTTGCTCTCTCTGGGAAGTGATACTTGATTTTAGAACTGGAACTCCTATACAAAAAGAAGAAGAGAAATAACTAAGTAGAAATGGCCTGTTGAGCAGAGTGTTTTCCAATATGCTCCTGAAACTTATATCCTTTCCTTGCAAGAGGCTGATGAGAAATTCCCATGTTAATATCTTTAAATATCTGTAAGGATGGGGAGAGGGAACTAGAGGTAATAGAACCCTTATACCAGAAATGTTAGATGACGTCTTTGCCTCATTCATTTGTTTTGTTATTACGAAACATCATATAAAAGAGTGATTGTCAGTGGGCCACAGATGGGCACAAACCTAAATGGACCCAATGAGACCAAATTCCACGGCTGGAGGAAAGGTTTGTGTGCGTGTGTGTGTGTGTGTGTGTGTGTGTGTGTGTGTGTGTGTGTGTGTGTCTCTACTTGTTAGGCCTCCATTGCCACTGTCATCTATCTTGAGACCATGAGACAAAACAGCCTTAGTATGAAGCTAACACTGAGCACAGCAGAGAGAAAGAAAGAACAAAGGTCCATTAGAAAATTATGGAGCTAATCTGTACTGTGGTTGAAGCATGTCCTCTCTGGACTTCCATAATGTAAGAAAATTAATTTCCTTATTTTTAAAACAGTCTGCTATGTTTAAAGGACTGCTGTCCCAACAGCTCCCAGACCTAACAAAATAGGAAGGCTTTAATTAAAATAAATATTTGAAGAAGACTAGATGAAAGAGTTTAGAGCTAAAAGAGGCGTAAGGATAATCTAGGTCAGCACTTCCCAAAGTCTGCTCCCTTGAACATTATTTCCTCTAGATATCATGTGTCAAAAAAGGTTCCACTGTCAAGCAAGTAGTTAGCAAGTTTTAGTATCTACCCTCACCCTAAGTCACACCTATCATAGTCTCTTCTACCTTACCCCATTTGAGTGTCTAACTCCCCTCATGGTGAGCTCAGGTTCCACAGGGAAAAGTCTGATAATTATGTGGCTTCCCACACAGGTGGGCCCACAGAGAAAGGAGTCTGTGCTGGTCACATGGGCTTCAAGAATTTGGGGCTCTGTGATATTTATTTCTCATTGACTTTAGTACATTGGTCTCATGGGCTTAGTTCACTTGAATCTGCCCCTGAGACCTGTTTCATTGAGTACTCGAAAGATTGACTTCTGGGACAGCAGACAGAGCCAGCCTCTGGACTGGGGTGAATGTACTGGGGGTGAGGAAGAGAAAGGCCCCAAGATAGCAGGTTCTCAGAAGTCATCCAGCCATCCTCCCCAGGCTGACTCCACCCCTATCATCACACTGCTGGCTGCAAACAGCAAGTCTTCTTTCTAACCCTGAAATTCCAGAGACTGCAGAGTCATGATTCCTAAAGGAGTGGTGAAACTCTGTTTGGGAACTAAGTGTACCCAAACAATAACAATATCACCTTCAGAGGGCATGTTTCCTTACCGAGATACACACTGTTCCCACAGTCATCTCCTGGAGGGTCCCTGCAGAACTCTGTGTCAGCATGTTTGCCAGGGCCCAGGGCTTCCTGTAAGATGCCAAGAAGAAGGACCTCAAATGTCACTGACCCTTGAAATAGCCTGTAAACCCTACCAGGTCCCAGGAAATGGGAATACAGCTATACCACGTGTGAAGCTAGCATCAAAAGGAGCAGTGTGATCAAGAGAAGCCCAGCACACTGAGGGACACAAGGCAAAGCCTAATACCTTGGACCTTAGTGTGCTGACAGGAGGCCATGGAGAGAAAAGGAGCACTGGAGGCAAAAACAGGGGAGCAGTAACAACAGGAAAGGAAGAACAAGTAGAGGCTTACCTGGGACTCAGCTGTCACCTCCCAATCTCCAGCGCTCTCCATCTTTGGGAGAGTAGGAACTCGGGGAGTGAGAACAGCTGAGGGGAAAAAAAAGGCTCTGAAACCCAAGCTCTGGTTCCCAAAAAAACACATCCCTCTAAAATCCAGCTTTCCAAAAGTCATACTTAGATCATACCGGGACTGTCTCTGTGGCCAATGCAGACTTCTCCTTTTACTTCCTTTCTAGAGTGTGTAGTCATGTGCCATGTGGGAGGTGCTGGCCCCGGCCTCCTGTGATCAGTACCCACCCCAGTCCCAGCCTGTACCTGCTACAGGACTCAAGCAACAGTGGGGCATGCGGCGTGGATAGGAGCTTCAGACTCTTTGACGATGCTTACTTACCCTACTTCTCAGTGAAACCATCAGATACTATTCTATTCCTTTCCTTCAATTCTGCACATCCCTCCTCCCCATGCACCCTTTCTTACCTCCCAACCCTCTCTCCCGAGGGAGAAGGGTTTCATTCCCTGATGTTCCCAGATTCTTGGTACTCACCACTCTGTTTCAAAGGCTGTGGTGCCATATTGGCATTTAGATGATTGGGAAGGTCAGGGAATGTATTCTTCACCCACTGCTTTTGGGATTCTCTCTCAGGCCAGGGATCCACTGGTTCCAGTTGGAAGCTCTGAGATTCTTGCACTGCCTTTAAGGACCTGGTCTCTTCTGCACGGAATTGCAGTTCCTACACATAGATGGCCAAAATTCCCAATCATCAATTCAATAAGACTCCCTCTGTAGGTCAGAAACTGTTATTTTGTGTACAACTGTGGTCCAGAGGTTAACAGGCTCTTTTAAGATCCAAAGGTCAGCAGAGCATGATGACTCACACCTATAATCCTAGCACTTTGGAAGGCCAAGGGGAGAAGATTGCCTGAGCCCATGGGTTCGAGACCAGTCTAAGCAACTTGGCAAGACCTCATCTCTACAATAAATTTTAAGAAATTAGCTGGGCATGGTGCCGCACACCTGTGGTTCCAGCTACTTGGAGGACTAGGTGGAAGGATTGCCTGAGCCCAGCTGTTCGAGGATGCAGTGGTCATGAGCATGCCACTGCACTCTAGCCTGGGTGACAGAGTGAGACTCTGATTTAAAAAAATAAAAAAAGATCCAAAGGTGGCATCAACTATGATGAGAAAACCATCAGACTGACTTCAATAAACAGACCAGCATTTTACACCACCAAATGAGTATTGTCTGTTCAAGGGCAGCTATCCAAGTGTTTCAATCCAAGGCTGCCATTGTTAAAACATTTTTGATTCATAAAGAGATAAATTATGCCAAATTTTTGTGACATTTAAAAATAATCCATAATCACCAAAAATAGGTTGTTTACTTTTTAATTTTTTTATAATCAATAGTTTTTATTATGATATTGTAGGGTACAGTTAAGGGTTAGGTATACAAATATGTTTTGTTCAGGCACCCTTGTTGATAAGAGGTGTTTTCCCGTCCCCAGACAGATATTTACTACCGTTAATCCCATCTCCCTCCCCCGCCCATAGTTTCCCACTACTAGGTTATAAAAAAGATAAAAGTTTACAAGTTGTACATAAAAAAGGCAAAAAGAGGCATAAAAACAGAAAAAAATATATAACTATAACTAAATCTAATTGCTCTAAATATCTGCTGAAAGGTAAAGATATCTTCAAAATAAAATTATAAAAAGGAGGGACAAAGAATTACAGATGGAGTTTTAAAATGAAATAAAAATATGTGCTATTTAGAAAGTACACCTCATCTTAAAACAGACGATAGATAAATAACGAGGCATTCTAACTCAAAAATAAAACAAAAGTAGCAAGCTAATACTAATCAAAAGAAAGTAGGAGTAGCTATATTAATTTCAGACACAGCAGACTTCAGAACAAGGAAAGTTACCATGGATAAAGAGGGGCATTACACAGTGATCCAGGGTATTACTCCAAGAAGAGACAACAATCCTTAACATATATAAGGATTACACTCATATTGCAATCTTAATGCATCAGACAACAAAGAATATAAAAACATGTGAGGTAAAAACTGACCTAACTGTAAAAAGAACTAGGTTATTCCACTATTATAGTTGAAGATTTTAACACCCTTCTATCAGAAATGGGCAGATCTACCAGACAGAAAATCAGTAAGAACACAGCTGAACTCAATAGCACCAACAATCAACTAGACATAATTGGCATCTATAAAGTACTTCATCCAACAAGAGCAGAATATATATTCTTCCCAAGCTCACATATGGAAACTTCATTCACCAAGACAGACTATATTCTGAGCCATAAAACATACCTTAATTAAAAGAATAGAAATCATGCCGTGTCTGTCCACTTTTAGACCATAATGGAATTAAGCTAGAAACCAACACACATTTGATAACCTAAATGAAAAGGTTACAATCTGCTGAAACTTACACAAGAAGAAACAAACACTCTAAATAGGCCTATATGTATTAAAAAATTGAATCAATAATTTAGTAACCTTCCAAAATAGAAAGCGCCAGGCTCAAACAGGTTCACTGGTGAATGCTACCAAACATTTAAGGAAGAAATTATACCAATTCTCTATAGTGTCCTCAAGAATATAAAAGCAGAGGGAATATTTCCTTACTCATTCTATGAGGCCAGCATTACCCTAACACCAAAACCAAAGACATTACCAAATAAAAGAAAACTACAGATCAATATCCCTTATAAACATACAAATCCTCAAAAAAATCAACAAATCAAATCTAACAATGTACAAAAAGAATCATATACCAGGTAACCCCCCAGGGTCCCTTCCCACTGTGGGAGCTTTTCTGTCCTCTCAATAAATCCTGCTTTAAAAAAAATAATAAAAATTATATACCAAAACCAAGTGGGATTTATCCCAGGTATACAAGTCTGGTTCAACATCTGAAAATCAATGAACATAATCCACCACATCAACAGGCTAAAAAGAAATATCTCACATGATCTATATGTGATATCAACAGATACAGAAAAAGCTTTTGACAAAATTCAACAGTAATTCATGACAAAAATTCTCAAAAAACTAGGAATAGAGGAAAACTTCCTCAACTTCATAAAGACTACCTATAAAAAACCTACAGCTAACATCCTACTTAATGGTGAGAAAAAAACCTTTCAAACTAAGATCAGAAATATGGCAAAGATGTCCCTTCTCACTATTCCTTCTCAACAGCATACTAGAAGTCCAGGCTAATGTAATAAGATAAGAAAAGAAAATAAAAGGTGCACAGATCAGGAAGGAAGAAATAAAACTCTTTGTTCATAGATGACATAACTGTCTATGGAGAAAATCTAAAAGAATTAACAAAAAAACTCTAGGAGTTAATAATGGATTATGGCAAAGTTGCAGGATACAAGATTAATACACAAAAGTTTACTGCTTTCCAATATACCAGCAGTGAACAAGTAGAATTTGAAACTAGAAGCACAATACCATTTACATTCTCATCCAAAAAAATTGAAATACTAAGACAAAAATCTAACAAAATATGTACAAGAGCTACATGGGAAAAACCACTAAACTCTGATCAAAGATATCAGAGAACTAAGTAAATGAAGAGATCTTCCATGTTCATTGGATAGGAAGACTCACTATTGTTAAAATGCTAGTTCTTCCCAATTTGATCTATAGATTCAATGCAGTCCCAATCAAAATCCGAGTAAGTTATTTTGTGCTGAAACTGGATATCCACATGTAAAAAAAAAGAAAGAAAGAATCTAAACAATGACCCTATACCCTTCACAAAAATTAACTCAAAATGATTCATAGATTCTAATGCAAAATGCAAGATCATAAAACATCTAGAGATAATATAGAGAAAACCAAGACACCCTTAAGAATGGCAATTACTTTTTAGATATAAACCCAAAGGCACAATTAATAAATGAAATAATTGATAAGTTGGACATCATTAAAATTTAAAACCTTTGCTCTATGAAAGGTACTGTCAAAGAATGAAAAGACAGGCCACAGAATAGAAGAAAATATTTGCAAAAGACACATTTAACAAACTATTATCAAATATATAGAAACAACTCTTAAAACTCAACACCAGGAAAATAAAAAACCTAATTTTTTTAAATGGGCAAAAGACTTGAACAGACACCTCAACAAAAAAATAAACAGATGGCAAGTAAATATATGAAAAGATGCTTAGCATCTTATGTCCTTAGGGAGCTGCAGTTTTATTTTTAAATAAATTCCACTATGTACCTATTAGAATGGTCAAAATCTAAAACACCGACATCATCAAATGCTGGCAAGGATATAGAGCAATAGAAACTCCCATTCGTTGCTGGTGGAAATGCAAAATGGTACAGACACATGAACATTACAGCAGCTTTATATATATCTGCCAAAACTTAGACACAACCAAGATGTCCTTCAGTAGTAGGTGAGTGTATAACTATGGCACATTCAGACAATGGACTATTATTCAGCTCTAAAAAGAAATAAGCTACAAAGCCACGAAAAGACAGAGAGGAAATTTAAATACATATGACTATAAAAGAAGTCAGTCTGAAAGGGCTACATACTGTATGGTTTCATCTATATTAAATTCTGGGAAAAGGAAAACTATGGAGACATAAAAAAGATCAGGGGTTGCCAGGCGTTAGGGAAAAGGAGGGACGAATAGGTAGAACACAGCAGACTTTTAGAACAGTAAAACTCCAGCATCTGTTATTTTTTGAGTTATCGATGATGGTCATTCTGACCGGAATTAGGTGGCATCTCAGTGTAGTTTTAATTTGCATTTCTTTGATGACTAGTGAGGCTGAACATTTTTTCATGTACCTGTTGGCTGCTCGTATGCCTTCTTTTGAGAACTATCTATTCATATCTTTTGCCCACTTTGCAATGGGGCTGTTTGTTTTTTTCTTTTCAGCACACTTGAGTTCCTTGTAGATCCCAGAGGATTTTGTCAAACATAGAACTGGCAAATATTTTTTCCCCAGTCTCCCTGCTTTCTTGATGGTTTCTTTCACTTTGCAGAAGCTTGTCGGTTTGATAAGGTCCCACTTGTCTACCTTATCTCTTATGGCATGGGCACTTGGTGTTTTGAGAGGATGTGGTGAAAAGGGAACACTTCTACACTGTTGGTGGGAGTGTAAACTAGTACAGCCTCTGTGGAAAAGTATGGTAATTCCTAAAAGTTCTAAAAATCAACCTTCCATATGATCCCGCAATCTTCCTACTGGGAATATACCTGGAAGAACTCAAACCACTCTATAAAAAAGATACCAGAGCCGGGCTTGGTGGCTCAGCCTGTAATCCCATGCTTTGGGAGGCTGAGGTGAGTGGATTGCCTGAGCCTGTGGGTTTGAGACCTGCCTAGGCAACTTGGCGAGACCTCATCTCTACAATAAATCAAAAAATTAGCCAGGCGTGGTAGGGCGCACCTGTAGTTCCAGCTACTTGAAAGGCTGAGGCAGAAGGATCGCCGGAGCCCAGCAGATCGAGGTTGCAGTGGCCGGGAGCAGCCACTGCACTCCAGTCTGGGCGACAGGGTGAGACTCCAACTCAAAAAAAAAAGAAAAGATATCTGCACACGTATGTTTATCACAGCATTGCTCACAATAGCAAGAACATGGAACCAACTGTGCCGCCCATCAAAAGAGGACTGGATTTTTTAAATGTGGTATATATACACAATGGAATATTACACAGCCATAAATAAGAACAAAATCATGACATTTGCAGCAACCTGGATGGACTCAGAGTCTATAATACTTTGTTTCTATCTTTCATAGAAACAAAGAACTGGGTATCAAATGTTCTCACTCATAAGTGGACCTTGAACAACTATTGTAATACCATAAGAAAAGGAATGACAGTAGTGGGAAACTGTGGAGATGTGGGGGGGCGGGGAGGTGGGATTGGCAGTAGTGGGAAACTGCTTGGGGAAGGGGTGGTACACCTCATCAACAAGGGTACCTGCACAATGAATATTTGTATACCTAACCCTAAATTGTACCCCACAATTTTAAAATTAAAAAAAATTTTTTAAAACACCCTGTAAAAATAAATAAATAAATAATAGAACAGTGAAACTACTCTATGTGTCACGTGGTATAATGATGAATAGATGTCAGTATTCATTCGTCACAACCCACATAATGTACAACACTAAGAGTGAGCCCTAATGTAAACTATGGACTTTGGGTGAGAATAATGTGTCAATGTAGGTTCATCAGTGATAATAAATATAACCTCTGGTGTAGAGATATTGAAGTGGAGGAGGCCTAGGGAGGAGAATAGATGGGCACTCTCTGTACTTTCTGTACAGAAAACCCCTGCCCATTTGCAAGGGATATGTTCCCAAGCCTATAATTTCCCTCAACAAAATGTGGGTAAGTATAATATCACAAGAGTTATGGACTACAACAAGTGCAGAACAACAGTTATATATACATGAAGGTTCTGGATGGCTGGCTTAACCTACAGCCAGCTAAAGAATCTATTCTACATATAGCAGCTTTGAAACAGAACTTTGTATAATAGCAAAATGATATGTTATATCCTAGGCCTTCAGAGTCATTTGCAAATTATTGCAATTGTGAATGTTAAATCCATGGTACTTTCACTTCCCTTACCTCAGCTCTATCACTTAGTTATATAAATTTAGACAAGTTACTTACCTCTCTGTCTCTGTTTACTCATTTGAAAAATGGCACTGGCCGGGCTCGGTGGCTCAGCCTGTAATCCCGCACCTTTGGGAGGCTGAGGTGAGTGGATTGCCTGAGCCCCCGGGTTCGAGACCCACCTGGCCAGGTGAGATCTCATCTCTACAATAAATCAAAAAAATTAGCCGGGCGTAGTAGCATGCGCCTGTAGTTCCAGCTACTTGGAAGGCTGAGGCGGAAGGATCACCAGAGCCCAGCAGGTCGAGGCAGCAGTGGCTGGGAGCTGCACTCCAGTCTGGGTGACAGTGAGACTCCAACTCAAAAAAAGAAAAAAAAAAAGAAAAATGGCACTGATGATAGTACCTGCCTATTGGACTGCTGGGTTGATTAGATGAGGAATATATATATAAAGTCTAGAAGAGTGATACAGTGAGTGCTCACAAATTGTCAGTTAATATCTCATTTGAGCCTCAAGGCTCAGAAGTATTTTAATTCCCATGGTTGCAGATGAGGTGTCTGTCACATAGTGGAAAGAACCCTGGAACCTAAGGATCTGGGTTTAGGTTCTGGTTCACTTACTGAGTGGCCTTTGTGGGCCACATGACTTTTAGGCCTTAGTTTCATCTATAAAATAGCGACCATAATATTGTTTCTGTCTACCTATACTACTGCTATAAGCATCCAAAGAGATCACATATGTAAAATGGTTTTATTTGGTATAAAACACAATACAAATTAACCATACTGTGGTTTTGATACTGGGAGGCAGCTTGGAGCAGTAGTTAGGCATTAAGGCTTCAGAGTCAGAATGCCCGAGTTCAAATCCTGGCTCTATCATCTAGTAGCTATGTGTCCTTGAGCAAATTACCTATTCTTGTCTCTGCCTCTGTTTCCTCATTAGTAAAATCAGGATAACAGAATCATCTCATTAAATTGTTGACAAGATTGAGTTAGTGCATGTAAAGCACTTAGAACAGTGCCTGGTATAGAGCCATGGTCAATAAATGTCCATTGCTCAATAATTATTGTTGCTAATATTACTGTGATTTTGCCCATTATTAAGCTAGTCACAGCCCCACTGCCTAGCCGGATCCACTCCTTGGAGGACAGGCCATCTGCCTCACCTGCTGTCCTGCAGCCTGGACCTCTCGATGCCAATCCTCCACCAGGGCCACTGCCTCTTCACCATTCTCAGGGCGGTGTGCCTGCACCCATGCCCGGACCTCCCTGGGTAAGATGGTCAGGAACTGCTCCAGCACCAGCACCTCTAGGATCTGCTCTTTGAGGCGGACCTCTGGCCTCAGCCAACGACAGCAGAGAGCCCAGAGCTGGCTGAAGGCCTCGTGGGGTCCAGCTGCCTCCCTGTACTGGAACTGCCGGAAGCGCAGGCGAGAGGCCTCAGGGCCATGGACAGGGTCACATTTCTTCTCCTGGGGTTTGGATTCTGATCCCCATGAGTCCTCCTCCAGTTTCACAATCAGTAGTTCTTCAGGCTCTGCTGGGAGAGAGGCCTGGGCCTGAGATTCCAGGGCCACAGCCATGGTCTAGCCCAGATGCCTCACTTCAGCTGGGCTATCCTCGTCCAACGTCTTCCTGCACCTAGGATGTATCCTCCAGAAGAGGGGATGCTCCCCAAGGCTCTGAAGGCAGAAAGACAAAGGGCAGAGAGTGAACAACAGGACCCAGAAACCTCCCTTTTCTCACTTCCCCCATACCTTCCCCCACCTTTTCATGGAGCAGGGATGCTAAGAGATGCCCCTATGCCCCTTTCCCACAGGCAGGAAGTGAGATTACAATGTGGTACCAAAGCCAGCAGCAAACACACAGAATTCAATCCTCTGGAACATGCCTAAGCGCCTTAGCCTGGCATCTCTGACCTCCATGATCTGACCCCAGGGCAGCCTTCCCCACTCCTACATGTGTCTATAGTCTAAAACCTTCCCTCAAGTTGGGTTCCCAATGTCACCCCCTCAAGAAGACCTTTCTTCCTGAAGCTTAAAGCTTGGGTGGCATTCCTCTAAGGTTGCTCTCCTTGCAAATCCTCTCTTACTCTACACTTCCCCTTGGTTATCCCACTCATTTGGCACTGTTCAGCATCTCTAAACATGACTCCCAAAACTCTACTCCAGACCCCAAAATTCAAACCCTTTCATGACATTCCCACTTGACTGTCCCTAGGCACCTCATACTCAATGGGTCAAAACTGAATTCATCACTTTCTCCTACAAAACTTTTCACATCCTGAAGCTACCCATTCTGTGAAGCTCACACCAGAAAGCTGGTCATCATCTCTCCAAAATCTCTCATATCCAATTCATCATCATGCTGTGTCCACGTGGCATCTCCATCTCCAATGTCACTACTTCAGTCCAAAGAATCATCATGTGCCTCACTTGATCAGCCTCCTATCACACATCCCTGCCTCTACTCCCCTCACCCAACCCCTGCTCCACTCTTTACACAAGGATTTTTCAGGCTCTGGTGAAAATAAAGAGGAAGGATTCTTCTGGAATGAGCAGGAAGGTCATTAATTCTTTATCTAGTGTGCACCAAACTAGATCAAAAACTAACTATATCACTTCCTTGCTAAACATCCTTCAGTGATCTCCATTTCCCTCAGGATAAAGCACAAACCTTGCCCAAGTCTCCAACCTCATCTCTTTACCATGTTCCACTAGTCATTGTCTTACAGCAGCACAGGTTGCAGATCCTAAAGCGTGCTGCCCTCTGAACCTTCCCCCATGCTGTGGTCTCCTTTGGGAATGTTCTCCTCCCTTTCTTCACCTATCTAGAACTCAGTTTACAATGGAGGATGTCCCCTCCCCCCCAAAAAACAGAATTCTTTTGGAGGAATTGTTACCAATTATAGTAGGTAATTGTTCTAGGAAACTATTGGCATCAGTGTACCAGATATCTTTGTTGTGAGAGGCTGCATTCAGCTTCAGTGAATTTTTTTGGCGATTCAGTCAATGCATTTGCTCATTTCATGATGGGTGACATACCAGCACACCTGACCACAAAAACACACTGAGTGTTCAGCAGTTTTAACCAAAAAACAGCATGACTCCTATGCCCCACCCTCCCTATTCACCCAGTCTTGCCCTGGGCAACTTTTTTTTTGTTTCTCTGGATGAATATTATGCAACCATAAAGAACGTATGGATTTCACAGCAACTTTGATGGATTTAGAATCTATAATACTCAGTGATCTAACACAGAAACAAAGAATTGAGTACCACATCTTCTCACTCATAAGCAGATTCTGAACATTTACCATAATACTATAAGAAAGGGATTGGCAGTAGCCAGAAACTGCCAGGGAAAGGATGGGGGGCACATAACATCAATAAGGGTACCTGATCACAAATCAGGCAAAGTGGGGACCAAAAAGAGGCCCAAACTTTACCTGTACGATAGCCACTTGCATCCCTAATCCTGAATTGTACCCTACATCTTTAAAATAAAAAATTTAATTTAAAAAGGAAAAGTCCTCAAAGAGAAACATTTTGCCAAATGTGGAAGAGGTGAAACAAACAGCAGAAGCATTAAAAGGCATCAAAATTGACAAGGTCAAAAATTGTTCTGAGCCATCAAAAAAGCATCTCAATAGGCATATTGCATCAGAGAGTACTCTGAGGTGACTGAAGTCTAAACACATAAGAATAAACACACAATTTTAAAAATAAATGCTGGGGTTTTTTGGGTCCCCTGGTGTATTGCACTTTTTCCACGTGGCCTTCCCTGTGCCCTGAAATAAGATTTGTTCTCAGCTACTTATATTTTCTCTACCATAAGCCTATCATCCTTCATTGTAACTATCTTACCTGCTAGATCATTAGCTTCCTGAGGGACCTAGCACAGTGCTCAGCACACGGAGGAAGCATTCAATAAACAGTAAAGTCATGAATGATCAATTAATGATGATGGCATGTCATGAAACAAGGATTACAATTATCCCCCCTCTGTGCAAATTAGATGAAAGAAAAGAATAAATGAACTTCCTGCTAATGCCAGAAAGAATTCCTTTCTCCTCTTTATTTCCATCTCTCTGTGACATTTATCATTTTCTACATTGTATTACATGGATATGTGTATGTATGTGTGTCCCCCAGGAAGATGACGGCCTCTCTGACAACTGAAAATGAGCTCTTTGTGTCATTCCCAACAAGTCTAGATGACATTAAAAAAAAAAGACCACTCAAAGGAAACTATTGACTGCTTCCAAGTGGTAATGACACAGCATTGAGAATGGAAGAAGAATGATATTTTGCATTTTAGATAATCTGACTGGACTGAAAGAAAACAAGGCAAGAGTAATGAAAAATAAAGACTTTCCCTAAAGTCCTCCATATACTTAGGAAGTAACTGAGAGCACAACTCATAGCTACCTGGCAACTTTCTGCTCTGCTCAAACACGTCTCCTTTGATAAGTTCCCTAACATGCTCTTGTCATGTCCTGCCACAATGCTCCCTCCAAGAACTGTCACCCCAATCTTGTATTTCCAACGCAGTTGGTACTTACCTACCTCTAACATAGGTGTTATCCTACACTATTGTAGTTACCTGTTCTTACATCTGAAGGATCCTTTAGACAGTATTACCAGGGCCAGTGCTGTATCTTACTCATTTCTGTATCCATACTGCCCAACCCGGTATCTGATAAGTAAAAGGGCCATTAAAAGTTGTACTGCAGCAGGGCTTGGTGGCTCAGCCTGTAATCCCACGCCTTTGGGAGGCTGAGGTGAGTGGATTGCCTGAGCTCACAGGTTCGAGACCCGCCTGGGCAGCGAGACCTCATCTCTACAATAAATCAAAAAATCAGCCGGGCGTGGTAGCGCATGCCTGTAGTTCTGGCTACTCGGAAGGCTGAGGCGGAAGGATCGCCGGAGCCCACTAGGTCGAGGCTGCAGTGGCTGGGAGCGGCCACTGCACTCCAGTCTGGGTGACAGAGTGAGACTCCAACTCAAAAAAAAAAAAAAAAAAAGTTGTACTGCCTTTTATTAAAATGGTAACTATAGTACATCAAAAGCCTAATGGGACATGGATGATCCATAATTGATTTTATGCTAAAGAATTAATCTTTCAGAAAATTTATTTTTTTAACCATAGCTTTACTGCTACACTAGTCCAAATATATCTCTGTCACTTTCTCACACAGGGACTAATTCACCAACCATTTATAGAGTACCTAATATATAGGTACTGTTCTGGAACCCACACTGGTCTGGGAGCTACAGACCCAACAGCAGCAGGGACAGACAGTCCCTACCTTCATAAAAATTACAGTCTAGTAAGATATAGTCAGTGCTAGGTGTGGTAGCTCACGCCTATAATCTCAGCAATTTGGGAGGCCAAGGTGAAAGGACTGCCTGAGTTCGCAGGTTTGAGACCAGCCTGGGAAACTTGGCAAGACCTCATCTCTACAAGAAATCAAAAAAAATTAGCCGGGCATGGTGGCACATGCCTGTAGTTCCAGCTACTTGGAAGGTCTTGGGGGAAGGATCGCCTGAGCCCAGCAGGTCAAGGCTGTGGTGGCTGGGAGCGTGCCACTGCCCTCCAGCCTGGGTGAAAGAGTGAGACTCCAACTCAAAAAATATATATATATAGTCAGTAAGCAAGCAAAGACATTTGTGCTCCTGCATAAAGGGAACACTCCAATAAAACTAGCAGTACCACCAGGCCCAAGGCCCAAAGTCTCAGGAAACAGGTATTTTCTTCCGGAAAGATGTGAAAAATCCCAATGGTTAGTTTCAAAGAGAAATCAGAAAGCCCCAGGGACCATGTATCACCACAACCTGTTCCACTTCTTTCTTAGACTGAAAGATGAATAGCAGCCTGTCATTGGGAGAGAGAGGTCAACACAATCAGTTAGTAGCAGGGTGACTTCATACAGAAGCGACCAAGGGAAAATGGACAGGGTACTCCTCGGTATTGAGACCACCAGGAACATTTGGGCCACACTAGGCTCAGCAAGTTCTTACAGTGCCCATTTATTGAGTGCCCACGAGGTGCCAGGCACAGTGCTATATGCTCTACATTCATAATCTCATAGAACCTTCGAGGTAAACAAGTGGCGTAACATTAGTGTCGAGCAGCACCTCACCAAAGTCTAACTTCCACTACAAAGACCAGAAAGAGCATAATTAAACAGTGCAGCCAGTGCAATTCACTATGCGTCTGTTCCAGAGTCAGCAGGTGGTGATGACATCCATGACTTTGCTATTGCCCAGGTTGGTCTTAGTTCCCTCGAGCCTCTCTATCCACTGAGTGTGAGTGAAGCATCTTCCATACAGCACAGTCCCTAACACAGGCTAACTAACTCTTTCATCTAATGTTCAAGAAAGAAAACCTGGCTGCACGGATTAGCTTACTGAAAGGCAGTGTGTTGATTTCTGAAATGGCTCCCCACCAAAGGATTTTCAAGCTGATTGTGATTTTTGGCTAAATGTGATGTCCACCCTCTGTGCTGATTTCAGAGTGTGATTATTTCATAAGGTATGGCTCCACTATATCCTCAATTACATACAGGGAAACTAAGCTTCTATGAAGATTCACTTAATGTTATACAACCAGAAAGTGGTGGAGTTAGAATCTAAGACCTGGTTCATTTTCCCCAATCATTTTTCTTAACCACCTCCCA